TTGACATGCTTGCTGTACATCGTTTTGGAGATGTTGTGATATTGTTCATGCCAGTCAGTCGGTTTGGTTATTGAACGCTGACACTGTGCTGGGCCTGACAGTAGAGCTGGAAGACATAGCTCCTGCTCTAAGGATGTCATGAGCTAAGGAAACGGAAAGTTTACTGTGCAGTTTTGCAAATGTTACGAGAGCAACGCGTGTGGGATGTCAGGGCAGCACAGAGAGGAGGCATATGTAATCCAGACAAGGCTGGGTTTATCTAGGAAGGCTGCTTGGAGGAGGGAGCTCGGGCTTCTTCAGCCAGGATTTCAGAAGCATCGAGTATAGAAAATGAGAAGCTTGAGAACATGCCTGCTGGCCACGGGCTGGGTGTCATTTTGTTGTTGTAGGGACAGGGCCTCCCACGGAGTTAAGAGGTGCAATCCTAGTGCCCCAGAAACCAGTAGGGACCTCGTACTTTGAACAGACATCCTCCTTGTCTTTGGGCTTCTTGGCTGTGACCCATGACCCTGAACATGTAGGCAAACCGAGACCAGGAAGACGGCAATGACCTGCTGTTGGAGCCCGAGGCAGGGTTGTACCCGCAGCCTCAGAGTCTCTGCCACCCTGTGTTCCTGTTTGCTCTGAGGCCGGTCCCTGCCCCCCTGAGCCAGCCTGGCCCTGGGCAGCAGGCCGCTGCCCGGCTCCCAGGGAGAAAAGGTCACATGTTATGTCAGCTTCATCCGTATTCGGGCTGGTGATAAGGGGGGACATTTAGGTTTTTTTCCATTATGTGGAATACTTTAAGATTGTGTTACGGATGTCATTATTATTGCCATTTCTCAGTAATAAAAACACCATCAATTATTTAATGTCACCTCATGTGTCTGGGTGAAGTGGGGATGGTGAGGGACGCGGGAGGCTGGTAGGGGATGGAGGAGGGAGGCAGAGCCCGCAGAGCACCAGGCCCTCCCGCAGCCTCAGTGTCCCTAAGGGCGGTGGTGGCTTGTCTTTAGATCCTTCTTCCCTTCTCTGCTCGGGTGTAACTCGGACCTGGCTTTAGCGGTGGCTGGCAGGGAATGCAATTAACTCCCTGCCCTTTCCCTCGGCCCGTCATCAGGGAGTTCTGACCCGCTGACAGGCCTCAATTAAATAGATCACCTGCCACGGGGCCGGGAGGCTCGGCGCCATCGCACAGTTCCAGCCACATGACATGACAGGAGGTGTGCGTGGGGCCGGTGAGAGCCAGGCGTGCCACAGTTCACGGGAGGGTGGCCGGCCGTGCTTCCCCTGAGCGCAGTGACACATCCCAGCGGGGGGAGCGGCAGGGACAGGTGGACACATAGAGGGTGGCTGCTGGAACTCGAAGTGAAGGCGTCGGCTGCTCGCTGTGACATTTGGGGGTGTGGGTGTGACTTTTGGAGGTAGGGGCCGCCAGGGCTTTGGCACCTAATGGCACTTACCCAGTTGTGCTTTGTGAGGGGCTGGCCTTGGGCACAGTAGACCTGGACGTGACCGCGTCCTATCGGTTATGCCCCAGGCTTCTCCTTTCATGACTGTGGAAACCTCAGTGACCAGCTGCCGTCTCCCTTGTGCCTGGGACAGCAAACCCGCGTGAAAGCGCCGGACTTGGTTTCCGGAGGGAGGTGTGCCTGTCGTTTCCGGAAGCCTCTCTGGTTTCCCAGAAGGCATATTCCTGGGCTTCTTTTCCACCCCCACCCCCTCATTTCATTTCCTCCGTCTTTCCCTCTCCACGCCCTCTTTCCTTCTGGAAGGTGCTGTTTATCCTCCAGCTCCTGCCCCTCTGCACGGCCTTTCCTGAGTGGGTGGAAATTTCTGTTTTTTCTGAGCCCCAGGGACTTGCCCCAAACCATCAATGATGATGATGATGATGATGATGATGATGATAACTGTCACAAGAGGGCAGTGATCTCAAGTTCCAGCAGCCCCTTCTTTTAGGGCTGCATTTGGAGGGGTGAGTTGGGTGGGGAGGAGGGCTGAAGAAGGAGGGGTGGAGGTGGGTGGGGGAGGAGTGCAGAGGGAGGAGTGGGTGGAGGTGGGTGGGGGAGGGTGTGGTGCAGGACCTGGAGACCTATAGCATGGGAAGGAGCTTGTACATTTGGCACTTTGACATTTGGGAGCTGCAAGGTGACTCAGCCATCCTGAACCATCTAAAGCCCTAGGAGCCCACCTCAACCCATAGGGTGGGGGTGGGAGTAGGGGCAGAAAGTGACTCATTGCCCGGCTGAGGGGCAGCCACGCAGGCTCTCAGGGCTGCAGGGAAAGTCAGGAAAGCTTGCATTAGTCGCACGTTTGCCCTGGCCTGGTTCTGATGCTTACTAAGAATTTTCCAAACACAGGCAGGCAGGCAGGCTTCCTGGAGGAAGTGGCAAACATCTTATCCTTATAGTAAAAAGAGGGTCTGTGGGTGGCCAGGGTTACCAGTAACCGGGGAGCTTTGGGGTCCTGAGCGTCCTAAATCCTTCTCAACCTCAGCACTGTTGACACTTGGCCGGGCCATTTGTTGTGGGGCTGGCCTTGTGCCCTGTAGGGTGCCAGCTCCACCCTCTCTCCCTCCCCCACATACAAAGATGCCCATTGCCAAATGCCCCCAGGTGGCGGCGGGGTGGGGGCAAAGTCGCCCGCGGAAACCAGTGTTCTCAATCAGAACAGTGTCTCTCCAGGCCGCTTTTTCATAAGCAGCCCTGCGCGCATCCGTGCCTCTGGCCTCGCCTCGCCGTAACGAAGTGGTTCCCTTCCCGCACCCTCCTCCCAGCCAGGCATCCATCACCTTCTAAACAGAAGGAAGACACGGCAAGGTCAGCTGACACCCCCCACACCCCCCACCCACCCGAGAGGCACGTCTTTTATTGCTGCCGCGATCCCTCCCATGTCAGCATGAGATGTAGGATTAGAAATAATTAAACCCATAAACAAAGAGCTGTGGCTCTGTGGCACATGGCACCGGCGCCAGCTGTCACTCCGTGGGAGAGGGGTGCCTGCAGGGGGGGATACTGGCCTTCCTCACGTCCCTTCTGTCCCCAGGATTCCGTCCATCTGTAGCGTCGGCCTTGAGTGTCGCACAGTGTGGCAGGCTGTCCCTTTGTGCTTCTCCCGGGGACAGAGCAGGTGACATCCTGCAGCCCCTAGGATTCTACAGAAGGACCCGGAGCTATGAGGCTCCCCCCACCCCCTTAAAACAAACTTAAATGAGGTGTCGGCACCCTTCTATGCATTACAGAGGACGTTGCAAATAAACGATGGGGGTGATGTGCATGTGTGGGACGAAGGAGAAGATGTAGACGGAAGGGTTGATGTTTTCGTTGGTAACATTTCGTTGGAAAGAAAGAATGAAATAAAATGTCTGAATCACTCGATTCTCTTTCTGATCCCTGTGTGTGTGTGTGTGTGTGTGTGTGTGTGTGTGTGTGTGTAAGACACGGCCGAGCATCATTTTCGTGAGATTCTGTCATGAAAGAAACTTACCGGAGAAAACGGGTCCAGCGTTTGCTCATGAATGGCTGCACCCAGGGACTCAATCAGCAACCCCTTCCTCTCCCATAGTAGAGAGACATGTTTCTTTTGTTTGTTTGTTTTTATTTTTTATTACAAAGGGTATTACATATGTGTCCATTTTTTCCCCCCGCCCTAGACAGTCCCCTAGCCTCCCCTATCCCCCAGTGTCTTATGTCCATTGGTTATGCTTATATGCATGCATACAAGTCCTTTGGTTGATTTCTTACCCCTCTACCTCCATCTACTGATGGGCACTTAGGCTGTTTCCAGATCTTAGATATGTTGAATTGTGCTGCTATGAACATATGGGTGCATATATCCTTTCTGATTGGTGTTTCTGGTTTCTTGTGATATATTCCTAGAAGTGGGATCACAGGGTCAAATGGGAGTTCCATTTTCAGTTTTTTGAGGAAACTCCATACAGTCTTCCATAGTGGCTGCACCAGAGAGACTTGTTTTTAAAGGTTTGTTTGGAGCTATTATTGCCTGGTTTTCAGTAAATATCTACTGGTTGTAAGCTCATCGAGATGATTCCACTTGCCTTCTGTTTGGGTGAAAGCAGAGGTGTGTGTGTTGGTGGGGTCACCCCTCTTCCTCGCTCCCCTCGAGATCCTGTGCATTTGTAAGCTGTCAGCAGGTCCGGGGGGTTCCGGCCGATGCTGTGGGAGTAGAAGCTCATTGTGGATTCATCTGTTTGCTCTTCTTTTATTTTTTATTTACTGATTTGAGAGAGAGAGAGAGAGAGAGAGAGATCGATTTATTGTCGCACTTTTTGACACATTCATTGGTTACTTCTTGTATGTGCCCTGACCAGGGATCGAACCTGCAACCTTGGCCTATAGGGACGATGCTCTAACCAACTGAGCCACCCGGCCAGGGCCATCTGTTTGCTCTTAACTGGCACCTAAGAGCTGGGACTTGGTCTAGTTTTGTTCGCCCAGTATCCACAGAAGTGGTGGTCAGTGTTCGTTGAGTAAATGTGGGGACTGAAATGCGGACTTGGCCTGGTTGCTGCACAAACAGTCGAATTAGTTGGTGACGGACAAAACATCAGGGTGACGTGGTTGCTCTCGGCCACGGGACTCGCCTCTCACCTCCTGCCTGGGCTGTAGTTCGGACCGCTTTCCCCTCTGAGCGCGTGAGAAACGTGAGGATGGTGAACGTCTGGAAAGTGGTGACCTTGCTGCCATCCAAGCGAGCCTGCCCAATGGACTTCCTGGACAGAGCCTGGGCTGAGTGCCCTTTACCCGGCGGGCTGGGATTTCGCTGTTCACTGCCCATTTCTAGGGTCGGCATGGACCCCTCACGTCCTGCTTCTGTCACCCCAGAAGTTCTACAACCGGAAAGCTCGCCTTACTCCTAATGACCCCGCCTGCCGACAGCTGGGTCTGGACGGTGGCCCTGCGCTGTCCGTGGAGATCGGCGGGCTGCCGGGCGGCTCTGAGCGGGAGGGGTGTGGGGAATGAAGCTCGGAGAGGTGTCACAGCGGCTGCTTCTTGTTTCAGGGTGCGGCGGAAGACCCCCACACGGCCCTGGCCCTGAACTTGGACCCCGCGTGGATGAAGAAGTCTGATGCCGAGAGTCCCAGGCTGCTCCTCCCTGCGAGCGAACTGTCCATCCGGATCGGGGGCACTGGGCTCCTTCCAGGCAAGCTACCCGCTGCAGACCCCGGGCTGAGCGAGGCAGGACAGACCGGGGCCTGGGGGCAGGAGGATGGCGGGAAGTGCCAGGGCCTCGGGCCCACGCCTCCACGTGACTCACCCCACCATGCACAGGGCGGGACCGGCATCCGGCCCCGGCCTTCCTGTCTCACTTATTCTCCAAGCCACCTGCTTGCTGCACGAGAGGTCACTGTGCCTTTTGGTTGTCTTTCCAGACAAGGACCTCTAGGGTGGGACCGGGCTGGTTTGGGTTAGAGCATGTGGGCATTTGTCCCTGTGTCTCCCCCTCTTGGACGGACCCTGAGTGATCCTTCCCGGGTATGTGACTTTCCTCTTTCCGATTCGTTGGGGGAACTGGCCATTTCTCTCACCAACTCAGTGTTGTGGATCCAGGCATGCCTCTGGTTGGAGGGCGTGCTTCCCCTGAGGGGAGTCACACAGCCGCTCCGAGTCTCCTCCTGGGGGGTCGGAGTGGGGGCAGACTGGCCGCGGCCCACTGAGCGGGAGTCGCAGGTGAGCTATGTGAGCTAGGAAGGTGGCATTGCTTTCCAGGCTCGGTGTGAGACCCACCCCACTCCCACCCCCACGGTGCGCAGTCGTCAAGCACTCAGGGCATTTGGCTAATTTAAGGGCCAATCAGCGTGTGGAGAGGTGGGTGCCTTTCTTTCCCTTTGAATTTAAGTCCCGCGTTTAACCTGTAAGCCCCAGGCGTCCCTCGCCCTCCCCACTCTCTGGTGGACTCAGGACTTGAAACCATGCAGATGATGCTGGGAATGGGCGCTTCCCCTTGCACGGGGTTCCCCGGAGTGGACTAGGGAGGAGCAGCTGGGTGACTGGGCACCGTCTTCACACTGGGGACTTCGGGGAGAAAGGTCTTTCCCCCTTTCCCTGCAGTCATTGCGATGGGATGTTTTCATCATGTGCAGGCTCAGGCGACCTCTAAACCTAGGGGACAGGCTGCGTGCACAAAAGTTACAGCGATGCCACAGCCAGTCCTCACGGATCTGTGTTCCGTTTGCATCCTTCATGAATTATTCATGGAGAACTGGAGCATGTTCTCCTCGTGAGCCGATCCTCACTGCCTCCCGCCACTTCTCCCATGGGATATAACCAGGAAATAAAAATTCCTCTCACGTGCGCTCAAGTAAGAGAGGCTCAGCGTGAGGAAGCTGCCCCACCTCCCATCACTCGTGCTTTCAGGCTCCGATCGGAACGACTTGGGTGCCGCCTGCTGCACCCAGAACCATCTGGTGCCTGAGACGGGCCAGCGGGCTCCAGGAAAGCGTGCTTTTTTCACGGCGAGTGGTGTGAACACAGGGCCCGAGGGCTTCCTGTCCCTCCTCAGCGGCCGTACCGGGCTAGCCATCCTGTGTGCGCCCTGGGAGGCTCCGGCCCTGGTTCCGAGCCTGCTCGAGGATGAAAAACTCAGCCAATAGATTGTGTTCTGTTCCTTTTGTTTTTCTTTATCCGAAGGCCATAGGGGGAATGCCTGGACATCAGAATAGGTAAACGGGTATCCCTCCCACGGACCCTTTCCGGGGCGCCGTGGGAATAGAGGACCAGTGGGAGCTGGCTCTGCAGGAGTGTTTCCTGGGACTGTGGGATCGGCGTGGCCACCAGGGCAGTGTGGGAGGGCCAGGCAGTCTGTCCTCTGCTCAGGGACACCTAGACAAAGCGCCTTCCCAGGTTACCAGGCAACCCTCAGCTGCTGTTGCTGACTGTTTAGGTACAAAATCTGGAGAGTTTGGAGATGGTTTGCCAAGAGGGAGCGAGCCCAGCCATCTCTGGAAAGGTCTCTTCTCACCTGGACACACGCGGGGGTGTCAGGCAGTGGAGGCCGCTAAGCTGGATAATGGCTGTTTGATGACCGGCCTCCTGCAGCTCAGGCCCGAGTGTGCATTATGTGTGCCATCTGGATTTGCCCTTAAGCTCGCTGTAAATGGGCAAGGAGATTGGTTTAATGGGTGTTTAGTGAACAACAGGAGCCTTTAAAAAATAATATTGGCGCTGCCGTTATGTCCCAGGATCGGCTCGGCAGGAGGAGAAGCCCGCAGAGCCCCGCGCCGTGGCCGTGGGAGAGAAGGCCCAGCTGCTCTCAGCCCGGCAGCCGCCCGAGCGGGAGCAGCTTTTACGAGATATTTGCCTCTTTACGTCTCTGTGCCAAACGTCTCACATTATCCACTGTTCTCAGGGCTGGGGCTATTCTGGGACTTGGCTAGACCAGAAGTCCTTCTAAAACCATCAGTCTCTCCTCTCCTCTCTCTCCTTTCTTCTCTTCTCCCCCCACCCACCCCCACCTCACTCTCTGTCCCCTTCTCCATCTCGTTCCCTTCGACTATTCATCTATCTCCAACCAGTTTTTTTAATTAAAAAAGTAATAACCTAGATTAAAAATTAAAAAGTAGTATTTCTTCCAGCTTCACATTCCTTATGGTCCAGGCTCCCATCTCAGACACAAACACGTTTCCAGTTTCTTCTACATCCTTCCAGGAATACTGTGTGTTACAGTCCTGCTCGGCCCCTTGGTCCGGACCTTGTGTTTTCCACTTAACCATGCACTGCGGTCTTTGTTTTCTGGGACACTCATCAATTCATCCCATTAAGATCTTGTTACTGGCCATGATCTTACCTAATTGGGTCCCCCCCTCAAGGGCCCTTTAGGTTGTTTCCAATCATTGGCTCTTACAAAGAATGTGTCACAGAGCATTTTTAGATGTACCTCTCTGGGCAGTGACATTGTGCAGTCAATTCTGGAAGTGAGGCCAGGGGTTCTGTACCCCTGGGGTCCATGGACGGGCACCAAAGGATGAACCCCTTGACACTTTATGGCATTGTCCCCCTCTCCCCCCCAAATAAATAAATAAATGTGGTCTGGTTGGTGTTGCTCAGTGGTTGAGCGTTGACTTATGAACCAGGAGGTCCCCTGTTGGATCCCCTCTCCCCCCCAAATAAATAAATAAATGTGGTCTGGTTGGTGTTGCTCAGTGTTTGCCCCCTGTTGTCCATGTCCATTGGTTTGGCTTATATACATGTATTCAAGTCCTTCGGTTGATCTCTTCCCCTTATCCCCGCCCTCCCCTACTTCCTTTCTAGGAATTGATAGCCTGATCGCTGTTTCTCAGTCTTTGGGTCTGTCCCTTTTCATCAGTCTATGTTGTTCTCTATAATCCACAAATGAGTGAGATCATGTGGTATTTATCTTTCTCTGACTTGCTTATTTCACCTAGCATAATGCTCTCCAGCTCCATCCATGCTGTTGCAAAAGGCAAGGGTTCCTTTTTTTTTTACTGCC